GGTTTCACCGTGTTAGCCAGGATGGTCTCGATCTCCTGACCTCATGATCTGCCCGCCTCGGCCTCCCAAAGTGCTGGGATTACAGGCGTGAGCCACCGTGCCAGGCCAGTAGTGGCTTTTTTTCTTGTTTCACAATAATTGGGTCTTCAACAGGTGTTCAATGGGAAAGGAAGTATTAGCAATGTCGAGTTATGTGTTCCTATAATGGACAAGACAGTCTCACATGGTGAAGAACTATTGCACTTTAAACACGATTTGTGGTCAGGCGCAGTGGCGCATGCCTGTAATCCCAGCACTTTGGGAGGCTGAGGCAGGTAGATCACTTGAGGCCAGGAGGTCGAGACCAGCCTGGCCAATGCGGCGAAACTCCGTCTCTACTAAAAATACAAAAAAATGGCTGAATGGTGGCAGGTGCCTGTAGTTGCAGCTACTCAGGAGGCTGAGGCAAGAGAATCACTTGAACCCAGGAGGTGGAGGTTGCAATGAGCCGAGATCGTGCCACTGCACTCAGGCCTGGGCGACAGAGCGAGAGTCTGTCTCAAAACGAACAAACAAACAAACAAACAAACAAAAAATACCATTTGTGCCCATGTGGAGAAACGTGTGAAGTCCCCATGGCAGAGTCTGATGTGTAAAGAACCCCATATGGATTGAATGCACAGCAAGGGCGGATACAGTTCACAAGGCTGTACTGGGTAATTGCAATTTGCTAAGAAGGTGAATCCTAAACAGAAAGGTCCATAAGCTAGATTGAGATAATCACGTTACAATTAGTGAAATTTCTTCCTTGGTACACAATTAATTACTTGGTTTGTAGGAAAGTTCCCAGAGGTGGATCTTAAACAGAAAGGTCCATTAGCTACATTGTGATAATCATGTCACAATTAGTGAAATTTCTTCCTTAGTACAAAATAAATTATTTAGTAGGAAAGGTCCCAGAAGGTGGATCTTAAAGAGAAAAGTCCATTAGTTACATTGTGATAATCACATCACAATTAGTGAAATTTCTTCCTTGGCACACAATAAATTACTTAGTAGGAGGGTTCCCCACTTGTAGGTTTATGGGGGTATAATTGACAAATCAAAATGGAATATATCAAAACATCACGTTGTACACAAATATAATTCCATTTTTATTTGTCGATTAGATCTCAATACATCCAGAGCAGAAGAGAATTCCCTATCTCTACAGCAGCCCATGACAGAGAGAGGGGCTCCGTGTTTTAACTTGGATCTGTTATTGGAAAGGCGTCCCAGTCCAGACCCCAAGAGAGGGTTCTCGGATCTCAGACAAGAAAGAACTCAGGGCGAGTCCACGGAGTAAAGTGAAAGCAAGTTTATTAAGAAAGTCAAAGCCGGCCGGGCGCGGTGGCTCACGCCTGTAATCCCAGCACTTTGGGAGGCCAAGACGGGCGGATCACGAGGTCAGGAGATCGAGACCATCCTGGCTAACACCTGTCTCTTATACACATCTAGATGTGTATAAGAGACAGGCAGTGGCATGATCTTGGCTCACTGCAACCTCCGCCTCCCATGTTCAAGCAATTCTCCTGCCTCAGCCTCCCAAGGAGCTGGGCCTACAGGTTCATCCCACCATACCTGGCTAATTTTTTATTTTTAGTAGAGACGGGGTTTCACCATGTTGGCCAGGCTGGTCTCGAATTCTTGACCTCAGGTGATCCGCCTGCCTTGGCCTCCCAAAGCACCGGGATTACAGGCGTGAGCCACCGCGCTGGGCCACAAAGGCAAGATGTTTTTAAGAGCGATGATATTGCGAGTAATGAGGAAATGAGATTCACAGAAGAACAAAACAACCTCTGATTAAAAACAACACACACCGTTCTTCAAAATCATACACATCCTTACCTGTCACCAATATCTCAAGCCAATCACTGCGTTCTGAGGCCCAGAAGGGAGACTTTGTCTGGTAGTACACACAGCTGTAGTTCCCAGCGTTGCCGGCTGTCACATCCTCCAGGGTGAAGTCCGTCTCCTTCCCCACTGGACTCCGCAGCTGGATGGCAGACGACGTCCCTGCCTTCAGTAGAGCAAACATGATAGGCAGAAACAGTTGGTCTGGCTGCCGGCACTGCAGAGTCACCCTTCCACCTGCGGTCACCGTACCCCTTTGGTGGGTTTGGATGAAAGGTTTAGATAAATGTCCTGTAAGAGAAGTCAGGCTCTGAGGTCCTGGGGAGAAGTCTGGAATCCCCTACTCACCCCTGTTCTCCTGGCCAGAAGCTCTGATGGAGTGTGGGAAATCAGAGATTCCTGATCTCTTCCACCTTCCTCCACTTTCTACTCTGACCCCAGGACAGAGATTCTCCCTCCTGCAAGACCTGTATAAGGCCGGGCGTGGTGGCTCACACCTGTAATTCCAGCACTGAGGTCGGGAGTTTGAGACCAGCCTGGCCAACATGGTGAAACCCTGTCTCTACTGAAAATACAAAAATTAGCCAGGCATGGTGGCACATACCTGTAATCCCAGCTACTCAGGAGGCTGAGGCAGGAGAATCAGTTGAGCCCAGGAGGCGGAGGTTGCAGTGAGTCAAGATGGCACCACTGCACTCCGGCCTGGGTGACAGAGTATAAAACCAAGGTATGTAATTTCATTCCTGTCTCTCTCCCTCTCCCACCACCCCCAGCTACCCTGGAGGTGGGACTCCTTTTCTCCCTCTGTCCTCTGCTTCCTCCCTCATCCCCTGCCCCCCGTATGTCATCGGCAGGCACCCTATCCACACCTGTCACCAACAGCAGAAGGACGTCACTGCGCTGTGAAGGGATATGGGGGGACGCTTTTCTGTAGTATTCACAGGTGTACTCTCCAGCATTTCTGATTTTTAGATTATTGAGGTGAAATTCGGCCGGGCCCTCTGTCGAATCAAGGGGCTTCGGAGACTCCAGAATAATTCCTCCCTTCCTGAGAACAAAGCTCACGCCTCTGGTAGGCGTCCAGCATCGCAGTGTCACATTGCTGTCGGCAGGGACCACCGAGCTGGGCCAGGCACTGAGGGACGGCTTGGGCAGTGACCCTGGAAGGAAGCAGAGCCCAGTGCTGGGCCTGACGCCCTTCCCTGCTCTCAGAGAGCCCTTTTTAAAATTTATTATTATTATTTGTTATTATTATTATTATTTCCTGCACCCAACCAGGAAGCCTATTTTAAGAAGGGAAACGGGCCAGGCGCAGTGGCTCACGCCTGTAATCCCAACACTTTGGGAGGCCGAGGCGGGAAGATCACGAGGTCGTAAGATCGAGACCATCCTGGCCAACATGGTGAAACTCCGTATCTACTACAAATACAAAAATTAGCCGGGCGTGGTGGTGGGCACCTGTAGTCCCAGCTACTCGGGAGGCTGAGGCAGGAGAATGGCGTGAACCCGGGAGGCGGAGCTTGCTGTAAGCTGAGATCGCACCACCATACTCCAGCCTGGCGAAAGAGTGAGACTCCGACAAAAAAAAAAAAAAAAAAAGAAGGGGAAGGGAACGGGAGGGAATTTGGGACAATGGGCCAAGGAGGGTGTGATTGAAGAAACACTCACCATCTCCCCTTGTGTCTCCTTGGCCCATGCACAGTCCTGAAAGACAATCCTCCGTGAGACAGAAGCCCCTGCCTGGAGCCACATCACCCCCTACCCTGACCCCGGAGACAGGTCTCAGAGTCTCCTGCTGAGTGCAGACCCTTGGAGGTCATGCGCTCAGGAGTTTTCATTCTCCCCACACTGGACTGTGGCTTCCGCTTGACTTCCAGCTCCCCCGTCGTTTCCCACAGATTCTCCTTGACTGTCCTGTGCGGCTCTCACCTCCCCCTGTTCCAGGCCTTTCCTGGTTCCACATAATCCACATATCCTTCTATTCTCATCTTCTGTTTCAATACGGCACTCATTCTTACCATTTCTTACTTACTTTCTTTTTTTTTCCCCCTGAGATAGAGTCTCGCTCTGTCGTCCAGGCTGGAGTAGAGTGACGCAATCTCGGCTCACTGCAACCTCCGCCTCTCCGGTTCAAGTGATTCTCCTGCCTCAGCCTCCCAAACAGCTGGGATCACAGGCATGTGTCACCACGCCCGGCTGAGTTTTGTGTTATTAGTAGAGACAGGGTTTCACCATGTTGGCCAGACTGGTCTCAAACTCCTGACCTCAGGTGATCCGCCCACCTCAGCCTCCCAAAGTGCCGGGACTACAGGCATGAGCCTTGCACCTGGCCTCTTCTTTTTATTTTTTAATTTTTTATTTTATTATTGTGTTTTGAGACAGGGTCTCTCTCTGTTGCCCAGGTTGGAGTGCAGTGGCTCCATCATGGCTCACTGTAGCCTCCTGGGCTCAAGTGATCCTCCCACCTCAGCCTCCCGAGTAGCTGGAATCACAGGTGTGCGCCACCACACCTGGCTGATTTTTTAGTCTTTTGCAGAGACAGAGTCTCCCTATGTTGCCCAGGCTCATGATCTCTTTTCATCCCTTCATGACTCCAAACAGGGCAACATTTATTGTTTGGTGTCCTGTAACAGCTTCAAAACATCCAAATGGTCATTCCAGAGAGGAGAAAGCATACGTTCATCCCTGTTCCACACACAGCTGCGTTTATTCTTCTTCCTTTTTAATTTTTTTTTTTTTAATAGAGACAGGGCCAGGCTGGATAAGAACTCTTGACCATGCCAGGCGCGGTGGCTCACGCCCGTAATCCCAGCATTTTGGGAGGCCCAGATGGGCGGGTCACCCCAGGTCAGGAGTTCGAGACCAGCCTGGCCAACATGGTGAAACACCATCTCTACTAAAAATACAAAACATTAGCCAGGTGTGGTGGCACAAACCTGTGATCCCAGCTACTCGGGAGGCTGAGGCAGGAGAATCGCTTGAACCCAGGAGGCAGAGGCTGCAGTGAGCCGAGATTGTGCCACTGCACTCCAGCCTGAGTGACAGAGTAGGACTTCATCTCAAAAAAAAAAAAACAAAAAAACTCCTGACTTCAGGTGACCCACCCACCTCGGCCTCCCAAAGTTCTAGGATTATAGGCGTGAGCCAGGACACCCAGCCTGAACTCAGTTGTTCTTAATCTTGGCTATGCCCTGGGCTCCCCTGGAGAGCTGGTAAAAGTTCAGTTCACAGAACCAAGCACTGAAGCACTGAGTCAGAATGGCTTGCAACGGGGCTCCGGTGTCATTCTTTTTCAGAGCTCTAAGACGAGAATGTAGCCAAGGTGGAGGACCACTGCTCTGAGTGAGCCCGGGCAAACATTTCTCAAGGCTACAACACAGATATTCAAAGTCAACTGGCGCTGGGCACAGTGGCTCATGCCTGTAATCCCAGCACTCTGGGAGGCTGAGGCGGGGGTGGATCACCTGAGGTCAGGAGTTTGAGAGCAGCCTGACCAACAAGGTGAAACCCCATCCCCACCAAAAATACAGAAATTAGCTGGGTGTGGTGGTGCACACCTGTAATCCCAGCTACTCAGGAGGCTGAGGCAGGAGAATCGCTTGAACCCTGGAGGCAGAGGTTGCAGTGAGCCGAGATCGCACCATTGCACTCCAGCCTTGGTGACAGAGGTAGACTCTGTCTTAAAAAAAAAAAAAGAAAAAAAAATCAATTGTCTTAATAATCCAGCAATCCCACCACTGGGTGTACACCCAAAACAAAGGAAGTCAGTATATGGATGAGATCTCTGCACTCCCTGTGTATTGCAGCCCTGTTCACAACAGCCAGGATTTGGAAGCAACCTAAGGGTCCACCAATAGAAGAATGGATGAAGAGAAAGTGGCACATATACACAATGGAGTACTATTCAGCCCTAAAAAAGAATGCACTTCTAGGCTAGGCACAGTGGCTCACACCTGTAATCCCAGCACTTTGGGAGGCCCAGGCGAGCAGCTCCTGAGGTCAGAAGTTTGAGATTAGCCTGGCCAATATGGTGAAACCCCATCTCTACAAAACATACAAAAAATTAGCCAGGTGTGGTGAAGCACACCTGTAATCCCCACTACCTGGGAGGCTGAGGTGAGAGGATTGCTTGAGCCCAGGAGGTGAAGGTTGCAGTGATCTATGATCACGTCACTGCACTCCAGCCTGGGCGACAGAACAAGACTCTGGCTCAAAAAGAAAAGAAACCTGGGGCGCAGTGGCTCACACCTGTAATCCCAGCACTTTGGGAGGCCGAGGCAGGTGGATCACGAGGTCAGGAGTTCAAGACAAGCCTGGCCAACATGGTGAAACCCTGTCTCTACTAAAAATACGAAAATTAGCCAGGTGTGGTGACGGGCGCCTGTCGTTCCAGCTACTCGGGAGGCTGAAGCAGAGAATCACTTGAACCCGAGAGGCAGAGGTTGCAGTGAGCCAAGATCATGCCAGTGCACTCTAGCCTGGCAACAGAGCGAGACTCAGTCTTAGAAAGAAAAAAAAAAAAAGAAAGAAAGAAGAGAAAAAACATGATATCAAGCCTGTTTATGAACATTATCATCATAATGACATTGATCTAACTCAAAGAAAGTTGTTAGGCCTGTGTCTCTGAGAGATTTCCTCTTTTACCTCTGTATGGACAGTTTTATGTCTCAGTAGGAAGAAGGGGAAGTTACCAGGCGTTTGTGCTACTATTGCATCCACGAGCCAGTGCATAAACTGACATTTCAAGTTTTGCAAAAGGAAATTGTGAACACTCAAAAGGTTCAAACATAAGTGTCCATCCATGGCAGAATGGATAAACATAGTGTGCTCCATATATTCAACGGGATTTTTTTTTTCTTTTTCTTTT